CCCCAAAACCCCAAAACCCCAAAACCCCAAAACCCCGAGTTGCTTGATGCAATGGATATTTAGAGCTTAAATAATCATGAAATCAACGATTTTAAATAATAATTTTATCAATTTAAATGCGAAGTATTAAGGTTGTTTAAGAACTTCTTTTATACTGGAGTCATTTTTTTCTCAGAAAACTGCTGATTCAAACTTAATCTAGCCTCATTTCTTTAATGGTGATGCTACTGTATATGCTGTTATTGATTAAGATGATTTAGTAGATCAATTTGATAGCCGCCATTTTTACCAATATAATTAGGTGCCAACTGTTGATTCCTTATCTGTGTTTCATGAGTGTGAACATATTCTGTTCCGAGCTGATTTTCATTGTATTGAGAGCTTATTGTTTTCATCTGTTCACGTGATATTTACTGATTCATATGATAGAGCTAATCAAGATATTAATGCTCCTATTATTTTTCATCTTCCTCGTCTCCAGTATATCTATTGATTAATAGCTTTGTTTCAGTCTCTTCCTCCTCGTTTTCCTCATCATTATTGTCTTCTAAGTCTAGTTAATAAAGATTCCTAATCTAGTTATTTTAGGGGTATTCTTGATACTGCTAGTTCAAAGCTCTAATTTGCACGTTTTTTAATAGATGATCTTGCAGCTCCTCAATGTCCATATTTTGATTGTTTTAATGTTGATACTACTTGCTATAAATCTTAATGGGGTGATGGCCGAATCTATCGTCGAAGTCCTCATCATCTCTTAAGTCTAGATATCTTTAACTGCCCTTAGATGATTGCTTCTAACTCATGCTATTGTTTAATAAAGCCTGATTTTGAGTTTAAATTTGCAAATTCCTCTCGACAATATGTGGAGACATCATCATCTATTACTGAGTGTCTGAGTTCTCGTTTTAACTTGAATTTTATACTTGAATGTTGCTTATTTAGAGATCTTAGTTATTTTCAAGATATTTCCTTGACCTGTTATACTTATTAACTGAGTTTTATGCCTAATGCTGCAACCTATATTACCCTTCACGGAATTCAGCACTTGACTTGATACCGATTTCCCCACTCTTATAGGTATCTTCTTTAGATGTAGTCTTCTTTTTCTTAGATTAACTCCTTGGATTTAATTATTATTTTTGCTAGTTATTGCTTGGTTTTCTATTATCAAATGTAGATTTATGATGATTTTAGAGAATTTTTTGCTAATCCAGATCGTTGAAGTTGTTATTCTAAGTCTGAGCGCTTTATTATGATCTTTGGGCACCTTATTTTATGAATAATCCCCTATTTTATATAGCTGTTTCTTATCTCGATCTAGATTTGTTTGGTGAGGATCTCTGCTACGAACTATGTTTGGACCTTTAAGCAGACAAAAACTAAGGATTATTTTAGTTTATTTTACTTATCTATCCATCATTGGTGGAAGGACTTAAGATATTATTTCTTTAACTGCTACCTTAATTATTCATATCCAGAGAGTTGGTAAGATTAGTATGGACCTTATTTTTATCTGCAGATATTTGCCTTTTATGCAATTCAGATTTAATCTAATTAAGCTCTTTTAACTTAGAATAGTACTGCTCTTCTAAGAAATTCTTATTCATCTTTTGGTAATTTGAAGATTCTGAAGCTTAATCTTTTAAGACTTGCTGATTCTAAATTTTCTGCTTACTACTAGAAGGTGATCTTATTCCTATCTGCTTAACTTGATAGTGAGGGCGAGTAGGTGATTGGAATTATGCCTATTAGATTGCTGATTGAGCATCAAAATTTTTAAATAAAAAGTCTGCTACTTTATCCAAGAAGTACTTATAATCGAAAAGTGTTTCTATCATAACTGAATCATAAGACATTCTCGGAGGAACCGCAACCTCATTTTACTCTATAAAATGATTAATGCTTTATTATTCTGCACTTACTTTTTGTCGCTCTATTTCTGAATTCATTATTAAACAAAGACTTGATATGAATATTCTGCCTCAGAATTTGGAAATTCTTAAACAGATCCATTAGCTTATCAAAAGATACATATGGCCAATTTATTTATTTCATAATTTCAAGTATTTCTTTCTCATCAATCTTAGTAACTGAATTCCCAGTTCTATTGCTGGACAGCTTACTACTGTTCAAAATATTATAGCTAAGCCAGGAAGCGAAGGCATCTATGACTTCATCTTCATTTTTTACATTAATTTTTCGATGCATTAATATAAGCTAAAATTCATTGGCAGATAAATAAGGCAATTTCTAATCTCTGCTCAGCATTCCGAAGTTCAAGCTGATGTAACTCAAAATAGCTGAGACTGTATGCTTCAATTAGAAGTAAACCTCTACATTAATGTTAGTGCTATTCTATTTTATTTCAAACAACTGGAGTGGTATATTTCTTAATTAACAAGTAGACTTTGAGAGCGATAAAATCATATTCTAGATACTTATCAATTTGCTTGACTGGGTTAAAAGAGAAGGCTCAGTGTCAATTCTAATCCAATTAAGCAGAGATAGGATTGAATATCTCATGTATTTACTTTTCTAGCTTACATTGAAGCTAATTTATTGACTTTCATAATCACTCTCGAATATTGACTAAAATTTAATTCCAACACAACACTCTTTATCATTCATCTTTGATATGTATAGGATCCACTAGTTACCATCTACAGTAAATGGATCACTCTCTTTGTAAAAATTTTGCTTCAAATTAAGATTAGATAACTTCCATGTAAGCAGAGGCTTTATTGAGTTTGAATTTACATTAGCTGACATCATTGGATCAGAATAGTTACTCTTAGTATGAACCAATTTTTCATAAGTGGTGATCACTCTCTGTTTCTCTTGTTCAAGCAAATCAAAAGGACTTACTACTTTCTTCATCTTCATCATAAACTTAACCAACTCATTATCCTCTGTTTTACCACAAATTTTCAAGGATCTTTCAATAATTTCTTCAACTACCGAGTCCGGTAAGTTTAATATTTCTTTTTCTTGGCTTTTAATGATAAAATCAATGTTTTGAGCTGTTACATCCAAACATTGATTGAAAAATTCATACCATATATCCTCTGCCCATATAAACTGTTAGAATTACTCTTCGAATCTCAAACTCTACATATCTTCTTGATTATCTTATTACAACTTTGCCTGTTACTCTTAGCATGATGAAAGCTTTTGAAACGCGTCTTCCAGAAAATTGAGCACATTTATTCTAGTTAGCTGAGGAACGATAAACAGATCAATACAAAGTTTTTACAATTGGTGTATTTAGAAAAAATCAGCAAGCCATAAAACATTTTAAATCGTTTCTAAGTTAACATCTGGCTAGATCTCGCCAACATTAACATAATCCAACACCAATCTGAATGAATCAGCAGTTGCCCACAGTGGGAGTAATATTCTAATTTATTAATCGTGTACATTATTGAGCAGATCTCTAAAGTATTAGGAATGAACGATAAAACCATTCTTATATGTTAGAAATTCCACATCCTAAACTACAAAGCAAAGCTCATACTCGTTATCAGAGTTGTCAGATTCTTGAGCACCATCTTGCTAGCCAGTTCTGCTAGAATAGAATTGATTTCTTATATCTTCTGACATAGGAATCTGAGAGGATCCTCTTCCTTCTATTATAAAATCCCTTCGATGAGATTGAAGTTCTTGGACAATATTCATACTTGCCAGATCATACTCAATATTTCTAAACTGTAGTTATTAACTGCTCTAGTCATCTTCTTAGGCAAATGCATCTAAGTGGTCCATATTCTACCCAGAGTCATCTACTTTTTCATCAAAGTCATCTTCTATCTAATCATCATTGAAATAAGCTTCGTTATAGCTCTGACTTTGCTTCAAAATATCTGCTTGATTAAAAGGATTAGTATCTCTGTTTGAGCTCTCTGGAAATGAGATTTTGTTTTATTCCATTTGAATTAATAAATATTCACAAAATAATAATTTGATTCATCACTTCGGGGTTTTGGGGTTTTGGGGTTTTGGGG